CCCCCCCCACCCCCGGTCGCTCCCCCTCCCCGGGGGTCATCCCAGCAGGCAGGGGCTGGAGAGTGCAGGGAGGGCCTGGGCTCAGTGCAGGTTCCTGCTGTCGGGCCTCACCGGGATGGACGGTAGCACCGTGGCAAGCAGTCTCCAGGCCGACACCGCTGCGTGTCCTGAGCTTGCCGGCAGCTCTGCCTCCGTGGCTCCTTCCCTTGTCCTGCCCAGGCCTGGGGCCGGGGGAGCGGGCTGGACCCCGTGCTTGCGCACCTGGCGGCAGCAGTGGCAGCACCTGTGGAGCACGAGGCGCTCGTGTGGCTCAGTGAGGGTGGCCGGGCCTCGGTGACTGCGGGGCGGGCGTGTCACTCTCTCAGCTCTCTGGCGGGGGGCGGGTCACACCATTTCCCTTCGACCTCGTGGTCTGGCCTCCCCCCCTTCTTTCTGCATGTGCTCGCTGCATGGCGCCCCGAGGCCCCACCACTGGGTTCCGTGCGGGCAGGTAGGAAACAGGTGTCCCTCGTTCACAAAGGCCTGTCCTTGTCTCGCTCTCCCGTGAGAATGTCTCACCTGATTTGGGCACGCCGTCCCCCTTTTCTTGAGGGGACCGTGCTGACCCCGTGGGTGTCCCCATCAGATCAGATGGGGTCGGGGGGCTCTGGAGCAGCTGCCGTGGGGGGCATCCAGCAGCTGTGGCCTGGCAAGGAAGAGCTCGCCCAGAGCACCGCGAGGCCCCGAGGCCGGGCTCTGCCGGGGCCCCCAGACGGTGCCCCCCAGACCACGAGCGCCCTAGGCGCTCTGCTTCCTGTTGGGGGTGTCCCCGCCCTGACGAGCTCCTCTGCGCTCAGGGGTCTTCATCCTGGCTTCTGCGGGCCTCAGGGAGCTTCCTTGTTTCCTCTCGGGTGACTCTAGTTCGGGCAGCCCAGGGTCTGTCCTGGCTTACCCCCTCTCCCCACCTTGGCCACCTTGAGGCCCTGGCGTGCAGCCTCCCCAGGCTCCATCCCAGAGCAGAGACCCCTCCAGGCTGGCCCCACTCCCTGTCGGAGCCTCCCCAGCTCGCCGCTCTCATCAGGGCTCTGCCCGTCGGCCCCAACCTGAACCGCACCACATCTGGGTTTCTTTCCAAGCAGTCGGCAGCGAGAGAGCTTGGCTTACACCTTCAGTGCTTCTCCTACTGCCCGTGACCATCCTCGCCCCGGTCAGATCTTCCGTTACTGTCCTAGTACCGAGATTCCAGACAAGTGGCATGGAATGGCAGACAGCTTGCTGCTGTCCGTCACGTTCAGATGGGGAAGGGATCCCTGGTGGGGGTCCTCCATGGGGGCAGGAGCCGGCGGGCAGAGGAGGGGACAGGTTGGGGGCCTGTGCGGGCAGCAGCCTCCCACCACCCCGTGGGCATCTTCAGGGAGCGCTTCCTCGGGCCGTCGGGTGCCAGAGAATGTTTGAGAAACGGGAGAGGATGGGCCAGGCCTTGCCTCGGAAGAACTTGGCACTGGGCCCGCGGGTAGTGGTGCAGCTTGATGGGTCTGTGCTGCTTTCCTGCCCGGGTGTTCTCGCACCTCTCTGCCCAGGTGGCGCTTGAGCTGCCCGCTTTCCAACCCCGGGGCACCGGAGGGGCAGGAGGGGGCAGCCCATCGCCCTGGGCCTGTGTCCGTGCGCGCCTTCCCAAGGAAGCCAGCGGTCTGCTTGTCGCGGCGTCTGTGTTCACGGCACCCAGGGTGGCAGTCAACAGCCTCTGGGCCCTGGCACCCGTCCCCAGGCTGGGCGGAGGTGGTGCGGGCAGAGGCGGTAGGTGGCGTAGGTGCGGCGGCTCTGTGTGTGTGTGCAAGTAGAACCTCCTTTCACTCAACCGGAATATTATTTTGCAGTGTTATATTTGTGAATAACTTTGCCTTTGGTCCTGAGGTGGATCACCAGCTGAAGGAGCGGTTTGCAAACATGAAGGAAGGTAACGGACTCCCCCCCACCCCCCCCACCCCGTGCATCCTGCGTCTGCACCTGCTCGGGGCTCTGCAGCTGTGGCCCTGATCGCAGGTGGTAGGGTCCGGACTGGCGTTGGGATCGGCCCTGGTGGGAAGGCCTCAGGCAGCGGGTCCCGTCCATGGTGTCACGTGGGTTGTGGGCGGGTGCCTCGCAGCTCAGCATGTGTGGTGGAATAGACCCGACGCCTCCCCCGCTCAGGCCCCAGCTTGCAGCCCCCGGAAGGACTGGGGTGGGGGCCAGATTAGCAGGGGAGCTGCAGGCTGTCTGGTTCTTTCGGATTTCGCGGAAACAGGGAGTGACTTCTTAGTTCAAGGACATCCTGCCTTCTCCTAAAGGATTCTTCACGGTGTATGGGAAACTGAAACTTGATTGGGTGTCCCCACGTGATCTGGAACCCTAACTTGGGGGCGCTGAGGGCACGGGGGTTCCCCTGGCCAGCCCCTTCGGCCTTTGTTGGCCGGGTCTTTCCCGTACTTGGACCTGGGCTGCCTGGCCAGCGCCGCCCCCGCTGCTTCCCCTTCCCTCTCACACTCGGTCCCCGGGCCAGTCGAGACCTGGACGCCAGAAGGGACCTCACCTTTCTTGTGTCCAAGTAGGAGGGGCGTGTTCTCCTGTGCTTATGAAAGCGTTTAGACTCACAGGTTACCTTGGTGCTTTTATGGAGTGAGTGCTGTTGGCATCTGGCCAGAACCTTGTGCGGGGTGGCGGGGAGGTCTGGAGAGACCGGGAAGTGCCAAGGCTGAGCGCTTGGGACGACGGGAGCTCCTGGTGTCTGAGCAGACTCTCCCCTCTTCAGGAACGCGGGCAGGGGTTGTTAGGTCTTCTTGTGTCCCGAGCTCCTCCCTCTGGCGTGGTGAGCCTGAGCAGGGTGGTCCCTGAGTGAGATCCCTCCAGGCCACTGAAGGTGCAGGGAGAGAGCTGCGTCAAGGTCTCGGCTTAGCCACCAGAGTGGGTCGCGTCTGCCCAGCACACATGAGGTGTTCCTTAGCTGTGCCTGGGGCATCCTCGTGCACATGGAGCATCAGACCAATGCAGACACCTGGGTGATAGCCTTCTAAACAGCTGGGAGCTGACCAGTTTCTTTGAACGTAGTTTGTGTTCTCGTGCCCGCCCCTGGGTCCCGTGGTGAGTTGCGCTTAGGCTCAGAGTGGGAGACCAGGTCCGGTATGTTCCAGGAAAAGGGGATGGAGGAGCGGCTGCTTCTTCAGGCCGTCCTCCCCAGTCCGCCTCCCTCAGAAAGCTGGGCGCTTTCTGTCCCAGCACCATCGATGGTCCTGACAAGCAGGGCAGCAGCTGGGGGACCCAGGCAGGGCCCGCGTTTCCCCTTGTCCTGTGCCCTTGCCCCTGCTTCTCACCTGCTGCTTTGTTTCTTCCCCGTGGGGAGGCCGGTGGCTTCCCATGTGTGGTGAACACTCAGGATGACGGCGGCTCCGTCTGTCCCCTGTGACGCGCTCTGCTCCAGGAGTGTGGGGGTCATCCCACCGCTGGTGGAGTCGCGGGCTTCTTTCCCTGGACGCCCAGTCACACACGGCCGGGCTCTGGTCCTCGGCCGGGGGCTGTCGCCATCCGTGTGAGAACTCCAGCCTCAGGTGCCCATCCTTCTCGGGGTCCTCCTGGCAGGACGGGACCAGTCTCCTGGGCACCCCGTGGGCTATGACCACCGTGAGGTCGGATATGCTGCCCCGCGTGCCCACAGCCCCGCTGGGCTCCGCCCGCTCCCCTTCCTGGGGCCTGGCCGGGGATGCAGCCCTGACAGTGTGTCCCCATGCTTCTCGTGACATGAGATGGCAGGAGTCACCTGTCCTGCAGGGAGGTCTCCAGAAAGTGTCTTCATCCTTGGGCTCATGAGGGCGGCTTCTCCGGCCGCTGCTGCTGCCCCGATTCCCACATCAGGTCTTCCCTGACGTGCCGCAGGAGCCCCGGCAGGGCAGACGTGCTGCTCTCTGTCCTGCCCCCACCACTGCTCCCTGTCCCCGCAGCTGCGTCCTGATCTCTGTGGCCGGGAGAGAGAAACGGGGTGTGTCCCCCAAGTTTTGTTATGAAACATTTCAAGCAAACAGGAGAGGGGAAAGGATCACCCAGCATGGACGCAGAGAGTTTCCAGCTGCCCTCGGCACCGCCGGCTGTGTGTGTGTTTGCGTGTGTGCGTGTGCAGGTGAGCGTGAGCCTGAGTGTGCGGCAGGGTCGCTCCTGATGGTTTTGTGGGAACGAGCGCCCTGCCCGGGCCCCTCTCCTGAGCACTCGGCGCCCTTCCCCGCGCCCCACCCGGGAGAGGAGCGTGGATTCCCGCTCTGCCAGCTGCCACAGGCACCTTTTGGGCTGTGCAGTCCCGACTCTCTAGCCTTAGGGCCTCGGGTCGTGGCCCCTCCATCTTTGTGGACGTGGCCCATTGGGCATCGGGCCTCATTGTCTCGTGGGATGTCGCCCGTTCTTCACTCGTCCCTCATGGTCATCTTGACCTTGCCCTCCGCACCCCATGTCCCACCTGAGCGCCCGGGTGTTGCACGCGGCCGGCTCGGGGCCCCTAGTGACATGCCCACAGAAGTCCCCTCAGGGCACCTGTTGTCCCAGAAGCCTTGCAGGGGGCACATTCCTAATTCGAGCGTTCTCCCTTCGACACTCTTCAGGTGTGCCCAGGGGACCCCCTCAGCCTCTGGCTGCTGTGACTTTGCTGTCACAACCAGCCGACTGCCCAAACTCACCCCTGGCCAGCCCGGGACCTGGCTGAGTTGCCCCCCTCTGCGGGGCGCCCAGAGGCCAGGCTGGGGCTCGGGGAGCCGTGAGCGCATGCGCGAGCAGAGGGCTCAACCTGATTGCTTCAGTTTACTCATCACGCGTTTTCTTTGACTTCTATATTTGGTTCTGTATTTCCTACGCTGGAACGTTCTGGTGTATTACGTTTCCTGACAGTGTTTCATACAGGATGGGGGAAGCGTCTGTAACCTGAGGGTGACATCATCGACCATGGTGACCTCACTGCAGGAGGCTGCGAGTCCTTGTGGTTTTTCTTTTCCCTACAATGACTG